TATTATCGCTATTACTCATACCATACAGATTCCTTGGTATCTTCTAAAGGTAATTTATTAATTCATTTATAATTTTTACGAAAATTTACTACTTTCAGCAAGATAAAATCAAAAAAAAAAAAAAAAAAAAAAAAACAAACAAACAAAAAAAAAACAGTACACAACTGAACATTTATGATTGCTACTATATTCACCTTGGTTAGCAATGGCGTATACGTAACTTTAGTAATTAACCGAATTATGTAACAATAATTAATTCAGCTTGTTTATTTAGACGTGTACTTTTTACTTACTGTACACAAACCTATATATGGGCATTTATTTACAATGTCATATTTTTAGAGTTGAGTTTTCAGCCAACAGATTTTGAAAAAACAAACACAAGTATTTTTATTCTTTTAATAAAAACATAGCAGCAGTGGTTTAAAGTACAAATACTGATGCATTACAAACTTTGAATCACCAGGGGAAATCAGCGAACTTGTAAAAATATGTAGTTTATTTTTATACCATAGGTAAAAAGCATGGGGACATAGATATAAAAAACATGATATGCAAAAACCATGTCGGAAATGTGTGAAGTTTTTCGAATCAATTTAATGTAATAACAACTTAATAACTATTTTAAAACATTAAAAAGAAGCGTAAATCCTCTTTGTGAAAAATGCTGTAATTGCTTTTATAATTTAATAACGGATTATTTCCTTCCTAGTACGATAAAAAGGGTTTCATTGAAAACAGGTTTGCTGCGCAAGAACTGCGGGATAAGTCGTGTCGGCAACTGAAATATTGGTTATAAAGTTAAGTTAAGATTTAAGTTAAGTTTAAATCTGTTTTAATTAAAAATCATTTGGAAAATTTTTATAAACTTTTTACATATAAAATTTCAGTCTGAAACGAACAAACTGAACACTAAATGGCAAGATTAATGCCATTATTTAAGTGAGATTAACTGCCTGATAAAGGCATACTAATAGCCTTATAAATAAATAAATTAGTAAAATAAAAACGAACAAATACATATGCATAAGCCACATTCAACATTTAATTTCGTGCCAGTAAGACTTAGTGAAATTAATTTTTCATGACTAAATACGCTGAAGTGAAACGTCCATGTGGTCAAGAAAAATATTGATTTCTACTCCATAATTAAAAGCAGTATATTAGTAAAGCAAAATTCAGATTTTTAGTATATTAAAAAACAGGCTTTATTTTCCATCCAAAAACAGGAGTTTTGTTGCCTTTTGTGAATTAGTGTGGAATTCAATTTCCTTACCAAAATCTTTCAGTCGTTATCGATGGAAGAATACTGATCTCTGGTATGAAGGGATCAGTACTGTAATATTTTTCAAAAATTTATATACCCTGAACAGGGTGTATTAAATTTGCCACGAAGTTTTTAACACCAAGAAGGAAGCGTTGGAGACCTTTAAGTATATATATAAATGATCAGTATGCTGAACTGAGTAGATTTCGCGATGTCCGTCTGTCTATCTGCCTCTCCGTCTGTCTGTGTATCCGTCTGTATATATACGAACTAGTCCCTCAGTTTCGTTCTGAAATTTTGCAAATGCCATTTTCTCTTCAAGAAGCTGCTGATCGAATCACTATAACATAATCACTTAAAACGCGCTTTTCTCACAGACACATTTTTTTGAACTGGCGGACTTGATTTCGGTCGAACTACTCAATCGATTTGTTAAATTTTTTTTTAAGTGTTCACAAAGCGCCTGGCTTTTGACCCTACTAGATTCATAATTTTTTATAATTTATTGACAATGTTATGACAAAATGTATGTAAAAAAATGAGGAAAATGGAAAAAAAACCCTAATTACTTTTTATTTACCGACTTTTTTCATGATTCTAGTAGCGATGATAATCATTCATATACTTTTTAAAAATAAATTGGGTTTTTGTATTGCAGATGATTGGAACATGAGAAATCGTTTCCGCCAATGGAGAAAACGCATCTCATTCACCCAGCCATTTCTCCGATAGATGTCATTGAAAAATTCCGAAATAATTTTTTTATACATTTCACTATATTCCTCAAGATATGTGAAACAATTTCTATTGAAGAATAAATTTCTATGAAAAAAAAATTAAAAAAAAAAAAACAGTTCAGATTATTCTACTGACTCCTGAAAGAGTGTATAATATAATATATTGTATATATGT